CACCTTCGGAAGAGGATCCTAGGTGGTGAGTCTCACGATCCGAATGTTCGGTCGCTTTTTGCTTTCCCTTTGAAGTAGTCCTCCGGGAAGATTCAGGCTTTTGGCCTTTTTCAGCAAGGAGCTGGGCCAACATATCCTTTAACTGGAGAAGTGTCTCCTGCTGTGCCTGGAGCATGACATGATGTTCGTCCACTCTTTTAGCTATGTCCTCGGGGTTTCCCGTCATGTAAGCAGAAACTTCTTGTACTCTGACAGAGCTCGAAGATTGAGATTCGGCTATTGCCTAATGTTCATCACTTGTTGTAATGCCTTTGGCTAACTTTTGATAGTTAACCGGGCGAATAGCTCCTGTCCGAGTTCGAGTATTCTGATATACTCCTTCGAACTGGTCACAAATTTCTCGGACAGTCGGGGGATGACTCTCTTGCGACTCATCGGAGTCAGTATGCGAAGCTTTCCCTCGGCCGATCATATTGATAGTGACCTGAGGGTATTCCGCTTCAGCTGTCTTCTTTCTGTAGCGGCGTTGTCGTTTGGCAGGCCTAACGATGTTCGTCAACCTGTCGAATACGGACTGTCACGGTGTGGATGCACAACAAGGGCATTCTGACAGGACTGCTGAAATCAGCCTCTCACATTGACATGAGTGAGCTGCTTGTATTGTTGGTTTTCCTCTCGACAACAATTCCCGCAGGTCGGAAACTTGGGAGGAAACTTTCCCCGGGCTTGGAGGCGGAGATGGAACCCTCTGCCCTTGGGTAGGTGAAATTGGTTCTCGTTGAACTTGGATTTTGAAGCCACGCTGATTCTTCTGAACCTGGCGGACCTCTTGAAGATCGCGTTCTTGAAGGATAACGCGAGGGTCGCGTTTAGCTTTGAAAACATTAGGCCGAGGCCTACGTTTAAATGATGAATCTGACCCCTGAGGGTCGTGTTTATGTTGAACGCGCCCCTGAGGGTCGCGTTTAGGTTGAACGCTCCCCTGAGGGTCGCGTTTAGGTTGAACGCTCCCCTGAAGGTCGCGTTTAATTGGTGAAACAGACTCCTGAGAGTCATGTTCTATTGGAACGCGCCCCTGGGGGTCGCGTTTGGTTTTGGCAGCTCCCCTCTGAGGGCTGCGTTTTGAAGAAACAACGCGCCATTCAGGGTCGCGTTTCAGCTGTATAAGCCGAGGCTCATAGTTGGGCTCGTTGCCGCGAAGTGAGCGTTCTTCTTTTGGAACGCTAGGCTCGGTTGGATTTTCAGAAACGCGATCTTCGCGTTGGGCCAACAGTCAGCTTTCACGTAGATGCGCTCGTCGTATGGATCTTCTCCGTCGGCGAGCGGCGTTCTTCTTGGCTTGTTTCAAAGCCTTAGCAGCAGCGTCGTTGACGCTTATAGAACTCGTTTCCTCTAGAGGCCGTTTGTGGCCTGAAGAACGTCTTGCTGACGCGGATGTGGGATCTTCCGCCAGCAGAGCCAGTTTGAGTTCTTGGCCGAAGGAGAGGGCTTTCTTCGGCACTTCGACAACAGAATTGACCTTCTTGGAGGTCTCGCGGACATCGTGCTTAGCCTTGGGGCTAAGCGATCCTGAGGATAAGGCTTCCTCGTACTTAGCTTGATCAAACTCTACGATGAGAATTTTTATTGTCATTCCCCTGAGGTGGACGTCGGACTGCGCCACCACTTCTTCGTCGGAAAAGCTAGTCCCCAGCAGAGTCGCCATATTTTGTATGTAGGAAAAATTGCAATGAAAAGAATAAAGAAAATTGACTTGTATTTCTTTGATTCCGATTACAACTTGATTACAAAAGAGAAGAGAACGAATTTGATTCTCTCCTTTGTTTAAAGCTGGGTTCTTCACGGTAGCGATGGAATGCCTCCTTCGATTGCTCGCGTCGAATTTGCTCTCCGTTGACGATCCGACCGTCTTTTATCGTGGGAACGATGAACTTTCGTGGAAAGTTTTATGAATAACTCTGAATGAGTTTTAGAACTCTGAACGAGTTTGAACTCTGTGAATAGAGTTGTTGGAACCGAAAATTCGGTTAATGATCAAGCTGTTATTCTGTTGTTGAAGAATCCTCTCAGATTTTATCTTCTGAGCTTGATTCAAAAATCCTATCTCCAAGGATTTCGCTGCTGCTGTTGAATAGCCAAACCTGAGTGGTTGAGATCTTCTCGATCTGATCTTTGCTAACTCTTCTGTTTTAAAACTGAAAATCTCCAACCTGTACGGTTTAGATATTTAGAATCCAACCTGTGTGGTTCAGATGCCAAAAATCCAACCCCTTGCTCTGTTGGGTTCGTTGAGCTTTTATAGGGGGATAGGAGGTTGTAACTGACCCCTATATCCGCTCCTACGTGGGCGAAAATCCCTCAGATCGTGGGATAAACGGTTCTGAAACCGTTCAACTCGTGTTTGAACGAGTCAAACGCCCAATCTGGCGTTTAGCACCCAACTTCGCCTCTTAGAATTGAGACGCGAGGTTGGGTGTTAGCTGAACACCATTGAACGCGAGGGTCACTCGCGTTTAGCTTGTTGCCTGCTTGGAAACGCAGGGGTCGCCTGCCTTTCCATATTTGTAACGCGGGGATGACATCCGCGTTTCAGAAGGAGCTTTTTGACTTGTAACTTCTTCTGTGAAGCGTTGCGAGGACCGTTGTTCAGTAATCCTGGCTTTAGCTGTTGTAGGGTATGAAAGTTGTCAGATTGTAGCTTTCACTGTAGATTGTGAAGACTGCTGAATAGAGTTTTCATCAGTTGTCGGAAGTGTCGTTGAATTGTAACTCTTCTCGATTTACGTGAAAAGTCCTCTATTTGCCGCTTTCGATTGTCGACCCGAAAGCTATTTGATTGTAGCTTTCATTGTGAGAGCTTGACGGGAATCAACATCCATAGTGTTTTGAAGATGAACATTTGCCCACAGCTCTCTACCAAGCAACTCACCCACTTTCGATTATCGGCGCGAAAGCTATTTGATTGTAGCTTTCGTTGTAGGAACTTGACGGGAATCAACATCCATAGTGTCTTTAGATGGATATTTGCCCACAGCTCTCTACCAAGCAACTCACCAACTAAGTCCAACCTTTCATTTCTAAAATCATTACACTGCTCATCAGCATCTCCAATAATTGCTAATATAATATTAGTCGTGCTGTTGTCGCAGCCATCAAAATCAATCATCTCAGAAATGAGGTCGTGTTTGTGGCGATTGTGAAGTTGCGGATGCAGTGATTAGAAAGTCGTCTGATTGTGACTTCCCTTGTCGGAGCTTGATAGGGGTCAGCTATTCATTGTGAGTTTTAGACAGCCTACATCTACCTCAATATTAGCGATATTTTAAAAACTATATTATAACAATAGAATACTATACGACGAAATAAAAAGTTAAAATAACACTTAAATACCTTAAAGTTTCACTCGCTTGGCACTTACGTATCATCAATTGTACTTCGTAGCATTTATATACCCTAAGTCGATCAAAATTAACACGTTAAGACTCTCTGTTTCGCAAATGTGAAAATTTTATCCGAAAGTTCACATAAAATATTCATATGCTAATTTTATAAATTTCTGTCTATTAAATTTATCGAATTCACTGTTAAACCTTTCCAAATTTTATTTTTAAAATTAAATTAGTACACATTCAAATCAGGACTAGGGGCAGGTTTAACAGTACTTTAATAAATATTAATTTTTAAAAACATCTAAAATTAACATATTAATATAAAAATATTATATGTAAACTTTCAGATGAAAATTTTCACATCTGCAAAATAAAGGGTATTAACATGCCAATTTTGACCAACTCAAAGTGTGCTACTAAATACAATTGAGGATGCATAAATGCTAAATAAGTGAAGCACCAAGGTATTTAAGTGCTATTTAGCCGAAATAAAGAAAATAGTATAAATGGAAAATTCGCTTATTTATTTTACATTCACATCATATGACTCAAGTACCTCTCTCATCCACCCCGCCTCAAACCTCCCATAACTAACCCCCTTTCCATTATGGTCCGGGCACAAACAAATTATCAAAATACATGTATTACTATTGTCATGAAAGAAAACGAGGGGGGAAAATGAAAGAAACTTATCAAAATACATGTTAATACTATTGTCATGAAAGAAAGCAAGGGAAAAAGTGAAAGAAACTTTTAGATGAATTTTTTTACGTTCGCAAAAAAAATGATATTAACATGTCAATTTTGACCAACTCAAGGTGTGTTACAAAATATAACTGAGCATATAAAATGAAAAAAAAAACCATAAATGGAACATATGCTCGCAAGTCACTTGACTCGGGTCACATTCACCATCCTCTCTCGTTCACCCCGCCTCCAACCTCATAACTGGTCCGGGCGCACACAAATTACAAAATACGTGTCATTACGATTGAAAATAGGGGCAGAAAAAAGTGAGAGAAACTCGCGCCTCCCCGACCTCCTAAAACCCTTAAAACTGTCCAAAACCCAGTGTCATGCTCCTCTCGAGAATCCCGACTCGCCCTTTCCTAATTCTTAAACGCTTCCTCCAAAATCCCCTCTCACTCTCCCTCCGCCTTCTCTGCCTCCGCCTTCCGCCGCCGGCCATGTCCTCCGCCTCCGTCGCACCGTCGCCGAACGTCTTCATGGGCAACGCCCCCGCTCCGCCCAAAAGAAATCGAACCCCAATCCTACCCCAAACCCTAAGCCTAGCCCTAACTCCTCCCAATCCGAGCCCCAACCCGATAACCCTAGCCCTTCAAAGAAATCTAAAACCCTAGAACCCCAAGAGAAACCCAAAGATCTCTCCCTCGAGCTGAAGAAGAAGAGCGCCGATTTCGACCCTAGATCCGCCGCCACGTGGAGGGACGGCGATCCAGTCCCGTTCTTGTTCCTCGCCCGCGCTCTCGAGCTCATCTCCAACGAGTCGGGTCGAATCGTGATCACCGAGATCTTGGCCAATGTGTTCAGGACCGTGATCGCTACGACGCCTGGGGATCTTCTTGCGACTGTTTATCTCTCGGCAAACAGGATCGCTCCCCCTCATGAGGGGCTTGAGCTTGGAATTGGGGACGCTTCGCTCATTAAGGCGCTATCTGAGGCTTATGGGAGGAGGGAAGAGCACGTCAAGAAGCAGCTAAAGGTAACTGTGGTTGTTTTGCTTTCTCGATCGTAATGGTACTGGGTTTCTGAAAAAACTGTTTGGGGGTTTTGAGATGCTGTTTGGTGACAGGAATTGGGAGATTTGGGGCTCGTTGCAAAAGCGAGCAGGTCTTCGCAGAAAGTGATGTTCAAGCCTCAGCCTCTGACTATTGCGAAGGTTTTAGATACATTCCGTGCCATTGCAAAGGTTAGCCCTTTTTGTTGACTGAATTTGCTAAATGTTTCTAAGCTTAATAACCACTTCCTTTCCATGCGGAACTATGCTGTAATTTGAGATGAATTATTATACTTGGTTAGTGTCTCTAGCTATTTTGTATGATTTCTTTCAATGTCT